ACGTGATATTTTCGCGATTATCACATGGCTTGGTGATAAATTCGAATTTATCACGTGATAAGCTGCATTAAGCCGCAACAAGCCGTGATAAGCCGGCTTGTCTTTGAACACTATACCAAACAATGCCAGTAAGAAAAGTATGGGTATGAGCATTGGTTTAGAATTAACTATCACAGGTTGAAAAGGCATGAGCACAGAAAGTATTTGTTCAGGGCCAACCATCGCAGGTTGAAAAAGCATAGGCGCATTACAAGAGAATACTATGAAGATGAGCAAGTGCAAAGCCAATTATGAAAGAATGAAAGGCATTTAAAGATTTCGCTTTAATAATTGATTTTTTTTTTTTCTTAATAGAGTTTTTTTTTTTTTTTTTAGTGAATATTTGCAATTGCGATTTACTTTTAAAAATAAATAAATTTTTTTAAAAAAAAATCACTGAGTTTTATGACTGTTTTAATATTAATCTTCGTCCTGGCAAATAAAATTCATAATTATATAGTTTTCAGCAAATCCTTTTTTATAAAATGCTTTCGCATGCACGAATATATATGAAAAGTATTTGGTTTTTATATTGACCCTGTATGGGCTAGTCAGACATCGTGATTATTAAAAAGTTAATGTGATATTAATAGTGACGAAATTTATAAAAAATTTATGGAGTAACCATATAAAAACTGATATGTAAGAGCTTGTAAGCTATTTAGAGTAAACTACATATATAAAAAACTGATAAGTGACTGATAAGTAACTCATAAGAGATTTACTTTTAATCTCAGTAATCACTCTAAATCTTGTATACGATTGGTTTAAAAAACTTTTCGCATATATAAATTGAAATTTTTAGCCCATACGTATATGAAAAAAAAAGCATGGGTTTAGGGGTCCTCATTTTCTGCTACAAAATTCTGTCTGCTTTACAAATTAGTTTATGCGAATTATGCGATAACTTTCTTAGGTTGACGACACTTACACTGGTAAAAAATAAAAAATTTGATGTGTCAAATGGCATTACGTATTCTCGACACATCAAATTTTTTATTTTTTTATGTTGATTTAAAATACAAAGCCAATCAGATTTACATTGTTCAACAATGGATTAATTTTATAGATATAATATATATATATATATAGGGAGGTTATATTTTATTAATATCATCCCCCTTTAAAATAAGTAATATATATAATATATATATATATATATATATATATATTTTAATATTAAGGTGACCACTTAGGCCCTTGGCACTTTATTTGTACAAGCAGTAGGCCAATGTTAATTTTAGCACCGGCTTTACATATTACATCAGTATCACGAGAGTACAACTAGTTATACATACAACTTTTGATTGCCTATTTAAGTAGTCCGCCCAAAGCGTTAGTGCTATGCTAGGGGTTCTACACTAGCTGT